AGTTGAACTCCTTCTGCACTTCGGGTCGGCCGAACATGCTGAGCATGTTTGGCCGACCCGAAGCCAGCCGCAGCAAGCTGATGTGCGGCTGATTTTAGTCAGTGTACGGCTGAAATCAGCCGTACCAGCCTGAAGTGTATAGCCGAACTTTACTTCGGGTCAGGTATTCACTCGGCTGCCTACGGCAGCTTAGTTAATAGACCCCTATATATTTTCTGAAAGCCAACACCCTGTAGAATAAAGTGGTGGCTATTGCACATTTTTATGTTGCACGATATTGGCGCAACTCGTAATCAAACCCACAAATGTAGTGAAAAATTCATTTAAGTTAATTTGAGTGCCCCAAAACACAATGAAATACCCATTTATTTTGTAAAATATAAAAGATGAGGTTACAATGAGTAAATAAATACCTAACATACCCAGGTTAAAAATCACGTGCGTCAGTGAAACTGCAACAAAATTCAGTACCCCAAAAAGTCCATAGACAACTTTTTAAAACCCCCTACAGGTCATCAGTTTAGAGATACACCTACATATTGGCCCTACAATTATTGCTCTCACACTGGCGTGCGTGGAAATACCCAACATGTTTAGTGCAATCAATGTTTTCGTACGTAGGCGCACCTGATGCGTGTTTGCATGAATGCGTGCATGCTCATGGGGGACTTTAACATTTTTAAAATTATTTTTAAAAGTATTTTATTCTATATTATTTAAAACATTTTTTTTAAACTTTATTTTAATTGCTATCACATAGGGGGCTTACAAGCCCCCCATGTGATAGCATATTGGCAGTGACAGGTCCTCTTTAAGGTGATACTGGGAGTCCAAAATACCCCCAGTATCAACTTTCCACATATAAGCTATTGCACTTTAATAGTTTATAGTTCGGCTTCAGTAGCCAAGCAATGACAGCTTAGGGACCGGAAGTGATGCAAACCGTGTTGCTCCCTGTCCCATAGAACAGGAGAAGATCAGTGAATGGAAGTTTTCCACTCTCCTCCCCAGCTTCCCATTAGCACCCGACATGCAGGTCCCAGACTCGCAGGAGGGGCAGCGGAGCCCAGAAAACACGGGGGCAAACACTTTACCAGCCCATAGAAGCGATCTGGCAGCAGCTGAGCCACCAGAATTGCTTCGATTGTAAAGCCGGAAGCTGGCTTTACAAAGGTAAACAGAGTCTGTTTACAGTGCCGTGCTGCCAATGATGTGCTATGTACGCCTGTGGAAGCAAAGGGGTTAAACTCTATCCATTAACTGGTTACAATTACTAGAGTGCCATAATCATGATGGTATTTTTTAAAATCTCGCAGTAAAATATAACTTCAATTTTCAAGGTTGTGAGTGTGTGTGTTGCAGCTGGCCACTACAATGTGGATAAAATATCCACTGCAGTAAGCTTACACCTTAGAATAAGCTTCTGGGAGAAAGGTAGCAATGGTCAATTAGAGACCAGACCAGGGATTGATAAGAATGTCTCTACTAGGAACTCTACTATGCAAAGCTGAAAAAAAAGAAAAGCAAATTATTTAGTTGCGAAGGGGCTACCCAGTATCATGGGCGTTTACAGAAACACTAGAATAGAGAAGAAAGCCAGCCCCTGAAATATTGGTTTTGTTTGTGTGTTAGAACCTACTATGGCTAATGATATGCCAAAGCCTAGTAACAATCCCAGAAAGGACAGTTTCATATAATCAACACAATCTGTGTTACGTTATATTTATATTTCATGTTTGCTTACTTTCACTCTGCTGTTAAATTGGGAAAAAAGTTTTTCTTGGCTGCAGATGTTTCGTTCACTAAAATGTCATCTTGGATTATTGGTGCCAATGAAAAGTAATTGAAAGATGTAAGCCAGTGTCAATTAACACTTACTGGCAGATGCTCATTATGTTTAAGTCTAAACTGATTGATGGATTAGTATGGAAACTACGAGGGTAGTGAATAATCACATCATGCCTTCCTCTACCACTCTTGTTTATTGAAGCAAACAAAATGTGACAGATTCATCAATCACTACAGACACATCAATATAACTGCAAATCCACCAAACTGTTATTGTGCAAGAGATCTGAGCTATATAACATTGCTCACTCTTCATAGAAGGCTAGTGTAATATTTATTAGCTTTAGCCATGGTGGGAATTCATTTTAATATGCATTTTTGTATGCTGATATCTTTTTTTAATTGTAATAGTGTCAAACAAATTGTTACATGAAACTAGTTTAGTCAAGTTCTTCAAAAAATCTCTATGTACACAGAATAAAGTGTACCGTGACCTCAAATGGAACCCAAAAAGAGTAGTGTAACCTATAGTTTTTAAAAATGTTTGCAATCTTTTCTTCATTGCTGTGAAGCTTTATATTTCTTAAAATTTGAAAAATATCTAAATAATACATTTGTTGCATTGTTTATTTATACCAGTAGTGAAGGATTTTTGGACAATGAATGGTGAGACTAAAAAGTGCATATTGCACATTTGAGGAAGTGCAAGAAAGTCTGGATGAGAGAAAAACTCTTGTCCATATCTACCAACAGACTGAAACAATAGGCTTAAAAGAGAACTATGGGGTAAACTTTTTATTCCATTGTTCTCTTAAGGATCACGGGAGGACGTATACAGCTTGCTATATAGTGAGAACGCTGCCGCCGAAACGGATCCCGAAAAAATACTGTCATGATTGTTTGGGGACAGATAGAGCTTTCTTTTGGTGGTATTTATGCACCCCTGGGGTTTTTATTTTTTACTATATTAAGGAAAAATTACCGAAATTTTTCCCCTATATTAAATGATAAAACATTTATTTTTACCCAATTTTTTTGGTAAAATATAAAAGGCGGGGTCACGTCCGGTAAAAAGACACCAAACATGTCAAGCCTTAAAATTGCGTGCGCGTGCAAAACCTCAAGAAAACGATAATACCCAAAATTGGCCACAGACGATGCTTTAAAAGCTTTTACCGCTCATCAGTTTAGTGTTATCAGTGATTGATGACCCTAAAATGATTTCTCTCACTGCGACATTCGCGGCAATATGTAACGTGTGTAGCGCAATTGTTGTTTTCGCGTGCTGGTGCACCGGACGCATATTTACGTTTATATGTGCGTAAACGTGGGGGTGGGGGAGTTAAACATTTTGGGGTTTTTTAAAAAACTTTTTTATATGTGACTTTTATTTTTTTATTTATATATTTTTTTTGCACTTATTGTTATTGCTATTATATAGGGG